ACGACAGGTCACTAGACAACTCTCCCTACCACCACCACCACCAACCCTCACACCCAGCTAACCTTCCACTCCTGGTCTCCTATTCACCCACGACAGGTCACAAGACAACTCTCCCTACCACCACCACCACCAACCCTCACACCCAGCTAACATCCCACACCTGTCTCCTATTCACCCACGACAGGTCACCAGACAACTCTCCCTACCATCACCACCACCACCAACCCTCACACCCAGCTAACATCCCACACCGGTCTCTTATTCACCCACGGCAGGTCACTAGACAACTCTCCTTACCACCACCACCACCAACCCTCACACCCAGCTAACCTTCCACTCCTGGTCTCCTATTCACTCACGACAGGTCACTAGACAACTCTCCCTGTCACCACCACCACCACCAACCCTCACACCCAGCTAACATCCCACACCTGTCTCCTATTCACCCACGGCAGGTCACTAGACAACTCTCCCTACCACCACCACCACCACCAACCCTCACACCCAGCTAACATCCCACTCCTGGTCTCCTATTCACCCACGACAGGTCACTAGACAACTCTCCCTACCACCACCACCAACCCTCACACCCAGCTAACATCCCACTCCTATCTCTTATTCACCCACGGCAGGTCACTCGACAACTCTCCCTGTCACCACCAACCCTCACACCCAGCTAACATCCCACTCCTATCTCTTATTCACCCACGGCAGGTCACTAGACAACTCTCCCTGTCACCACCAACCCTCACACCCAGCTAACATCCCACACCGGTCTCCTATTCACCCACGGCAGGTCACTAGACAACTCTCCCTGTCACCACCACCACCACCAACCCTCACACCCAGCTAACACCCCACACCTATCTCCTATTCACCCACGACAGGTCACTAGACAACTCTCCCTGTCACCACCAACCCTCACACCCAGCTAACATCCCACACCTATCTCCTATTCACCCACGGCAGGTCACTAGGCAACTCTCCCTACCACCACCACCACCACCACCAACCCTCACACCCAGCTAACATCCCACTCCTATCTCTTATTCACCCACGGCAGGTCACTCGACAACTCTCCCTGTCACCACCAACCCTCACACCCAGCTAACATCCCACACCTATCTCCTATTCACCCACGACAGGTCACTAGACAACTCTCCCTACCATCACCACCACCACCAACCCTCACACCCAGCTAACATCCCACACCCAGCTCCTATTCACTCACGACAGGTCACTAGACAACTCTCCCTACCACCACCACCACCAACCCTCACACCCAGCTAACATCCCACTCCTATCTCCTATTCACCCACGACAGGTCACTAGACAACTCTCCCTACCACCACCACCACCACCAACCCTCACACCCAGCTAACATCCCACACCGGTCTCCTATTCACCCACGGCAGGTCACTAGACAACTCTCCCTACCATCACCACCACCACCAACCCTCACACCCAGCTAACATTCCACACCTGTCTCCTATTCACCCACGACAGGTCACTAGACAACTCTCCCTACCACCACCACCACCAACCCTCACACCCAGCTAACATCCCACACCTATCTCCTATTCACTCACGACAGGTCACTAGACAACTCTCCCTACCACCACCACCAACCCTCACACCCAGCTAACCTTCCACTCCTGGTCTCCTATTCACCCACGACAGGTCACTAGACAACTCTCCCTACCACCACCACCAACCCTCACACCCAGCTAACACCCCACACCTATCTCCTATTCACCCACGGCAGGTCACTAGACAACTCTCCCTACCATCACCAGCACCACCAACCCTCACACCCAACTAACATCCCACTCCTATCTCCTATTCACCCACGACAGGTCACAAGACAACTCTCCCTACCACCACCACCACCAACCCTCACACCCAGCTAACATCCCACACCTGTCTCCTATTCACTCACGGCAGGTCACTAGACAACTCTCCCTGTCACCACCACCACCACCACCGCCAACCCTCACACCCAGCTAACATCCCACGCCCGGTCTCCTATTCACCCACGACAGGTCACAAGACAACTCTCCCTGTCACCACCAACCCTCACACCCAGCTAACATCCCACTCCTATCTCTTATTCACCCACGACAGGTCACTAGGCAACTCTCCCTACCACCACCACCACCAACCCTCACACCCAGCTAACATCCCACGCCCGGTCTCCTATTCACCCACGGCAGGTCACTAGACAACTCTCCCTACCATCACCACCACCACCACCAACCCTCACACCCAGCTAACACCCCACTCCTATCTCCTATTCACCCACGACAGGTCACTAGACAACTCTCCCTGTCACCACCAACCCTCACACCCAGCTAACATCCCACACCCGGTCTCCTATTCACCCACGACAGGTCACAAGACAACTCTCCCTACCACCACCACCAACCCTCACACCCAGCTAACATCCCACTCCTATCTCCTATTCACCCACGACAGGTCACTAGACAACTCTCCCTACCACCACCACCATCACCAACCCTCACACCCAGCTAACATCCCACACCTGTCTCCTATTCACCTACTACAGGTCACTAGACAACTCTCCCTACCATCACCACCACCACTAACCCTCACACCCAGCTAACATCCCACACCTATCTCCTATTCACCCACGGCAGGTCACTAGACAACTCTCCCTACCACCACCACCACCAACCCTCACACCCAGCTAACATCCCACTCCTATCTCCTATTCACCCACGACAGGTCACTAGACAACTCTCCCTACCACCACCAACCCTCACACCCAGCTAACCTTCCACTCCTGGTCTCCTATTCACCCACGACAGGTCACTGGACAACTCTCCCTGTCACCACCACCACCAACCCTCACACCCAGCTAACATCCCACACCCGGTCTCCTATTCACTCACAGCAGGTCACTAGACAACTCTCCCCACCACCACCACCACCAACCCTCACACCCAGCTAACCTTCCACTCCTGGTCTCCTATTCACCCACGACAGGTCACTAGACAACTCTCCCTACCACCACCACCACCACCAACCCTCACACCCAGCTAACATCCCACACCGGTCTCCTATTCACTCACTGCAGGTCACTAGACAACTCTCCCTACCACCACCACCACCAACCCTCACACCCAGCTAACATCCCACTCCTATCTCCTATTCACTCACGGCAGGTCACTAGACAACTCTCCTTACCACCACCACCACCAACCCTCACACCCAGCTAACATCCCACACCTGTCTCCTATTCACCCACGACAGGTCACTAGACAACTCTCCCTGTCACCACCAACCCTCACACCCAGCTAACACCCCACACCTATCTCCTATTCACCCACGACAGGTCACTAGACAACTCTCCCTGTCACCACCAACCCTCACACCCAGCTAACATCCCACACCTATCTCCTATTCACCCACGGCAGGTCACAAGACAACTCTCCCTACCACCACCACCACCACCATCAACCCTCACACCCAGCTAACATCCCACACCTGTCTCCTATTCACCCACGGCAGGGCACTAGACAACTCTCCCTACCACCACCAACCCTCACATCCAGCTAACATCCCACACCTGTCTCCTATTCACCCACGACAGGTCACTAGACAACTCTCCCTACCATCACCAACCCTCACACCCAGCTAACATCCCACACCGGTCTCCTATTCACCCACGACAGGTCACTAGACAACTCTCCCTGTCACCACCACCACAACCCTCACACCCAGCTAACCTTCCACTCCTGGTCTCCTATTCACCCACGACAGGTCACTAGACAACTCTCCCTGTCACCACCAACCCTCACACCCAGCTAACACCCCACTCCTATCTCCTATTCACCCACTACAGGTCACTAGACAACTCTCCCTACCACCACCACCACAACCCTCACACCCAGCTAACCTTCCACTCCTGGTCTCCTATTCACCCACGACAGGTCACTAGACAACTCTCCCTACCACCACCACCAACCCTCACACCCAGCTAACCTTCCACTCCTGGTCTCCTATTCACCCACGACAGGTCACTAGACAACTCTCCCTACCATCACCAACCCTCACACCCAGCTAACCTTCCACTCCTGGTCTCCTATTCACCCACGACAGGTCACTAGACAACTCTCCCTGTCACCACCAACCCTCACACCCAGCTAACATCCCACTCCTATCTCCTATTCACCCCACGACAGGTCACTAGACAACTCTCCCTGTCACCACCAACCCTCACACCCAGCTAACACCCCACTCCTATCTCTTATTCACCCACGACAGGTCACTAGACAACTCTCCCTACCACCACCACCACCACCAACCCTCACACCCAGCTAACATCCCACACCTATCTCCTATTCACCCACGACAGGTCACTAGACAACTCTCCCTACCACCACCACCACCACCAACCACCACACCCAGCTAACATCTCACACCTGGTCTCCTATTCACCCACGGCAGGTCACAAGACAACTCTCCCTACCACCACCACCAACCCTCACACCCAGCTAACACCCCACTCCTATCTCTTATTCACCCACGGCAGGTCACTAGACAACTCTCCCTACCATTACCACCACCACCACCACCAACCCTCACACCCAGCTAACATCCCACTCCTATCTCCTATTCACCCACGGCAGGTCACTAGACAACTCTCCCTACCACCACCACCACCAACCCTCACACCCAGCTAACCTTCCACTCCTATCTCTTATTCACCCACGGCAGGTCACTAGACAACTCTCCCTACCACCACCACCAACCCTCACACCCAGCTAACATCCCACACCGGTCTCCTATTCACCCACGGCAGGGCACTTGGCAACTCTCCCTACCACCACCAACCCTCACACCCAGCTAACCTTCCACTCCTGGTCTCCTATTCACCCACGACAGGTCACTAGACAACTCTCCCTACCACCACCACCACCACCAACCCTCACACCCAGCTAACACCCCACTCCTATCTCCCATCCACCCCACGGCAGCTCACACAGCAAGATGGTGAACGCCGGCCTCCAGATGGTGGGGCTGGCCCTCAGCCTGCTGGGCACCGTCGGCGGCATCGTGAGCTGCGCCCTGCCCATGTGGAAGGTCTCCGCCCTGCTGGGCAGCAGCGTCATCACCTCCATTATGACGTACGAGGGCCTCTGGATGAACTGCGTGGTGCAAAGCACGGGCCAGATGCAGTGCAAGCGCTACGACTCGATGCTGGCGCTGGGGCAGGACCTGCAGGCGGCCCGGGCGCTCACCGTCATCGCCGTCGTCCTCGCCGGCGTTGGCATCCTGGTGGCGATCGCGGGCGCCAAGTGCACCACGTGCGTGGAGGACGAGGCGACCAAGGCGCGGGTCTCCATCGCGGCCGGCGCCGTCTTCGTCCTCGCCGGAGCCCTCGAGATCGTGCCGGCGTCCTGGTCGGCCAACGCCATCGTCCGCGATTTCCACAACCCGCTGGTGCCCGAGGCGGGCAAGCGGGACATGGGCGCGTCGCTGTACCTGGGGTGGGCGTCCAGCGCCCTCATGCTGCTTGGGGGCGCCCTCCTCTGCTGCTCGTGCCCCCCCAAGAAGCCCAAATACGCGCCGCCAAAGTCGTCCATGGGCGGAGGCGGTCCCAGGAGCAACTTCGTGTGAGGGTTACGGAGGGTGGGGGGTGGAGGGGGTCAGTTTGTGGGGGGAGGGTGGGGGGGTCAGTCTGTGGGGGGTGGGGGGGGGGTCAGTCTGTGGGGGGTGGGGGTCAGTCTGTGGGGGGGGGGGGGTGGAGGGGTCAGTCTGTGGGGGGGGGGGGTGGAGGGGTCAGTCTGTGGGAAGTTAGAGGTACTTGTGTGTGTGTGTGTCTGTGTGTGTGTCTGTGTGTGTATCTGTGTGTGTGTGTGTGTCTGTGTGTATGTGTCTGTGTGTGTCTGTGTATGTGTGTCTGTGTGTCTGTGTGAGTGTGTGTGTGTCTGTGTGTCTGTGTGTGTGTGAGTCTGTGTGTGAGTCTGTGTGTGTGTCTGTGTGTGTTTGTCTGTGTGTGTGAGTCTGTGTGTGAGTCTGTGTGTGTGTCTGTGTGTGTTTGCCTGTGTGTGTGAGTCTGTGTGTGTGTATCTGTGTGTGTGTGTCTTTGTGTGTGTGTCTGTGTGTGTGTCTGTGTGTGTGTGTCTGTGTGTGTGTGTCTGTGTGTGTGTGTGTGTGTTTGTGTGTGTGTCTGTGTGTCTGTGTGCGTGTGTCTGTGTGTGTGTGTGTCTGTGTGTGTCTGTGTGTGTGTGAGTCTGTGTGTGTGTCTGTGTGTGTGTGAGTCTGTGTGTGTGTCTGTGTGTGTTTGTCTGTGTGTGTGAGTCTGTGTGTGAGTCTGTGTGTGTGTCTGTGTGTGTTTGCCTGTGTGTGTGAGTCTGTGTGTGTGTATCTGTGTGTGTGTGTCTTTGTGTGTGTGTCTGTGTCTGTGTGTGTGTGTCTGTGTGTGTGTGTGTTTGTGTGTGTTTGTGTGTGTTTGTGTGTGTGTCTGTGTGTCTGTGTGCGTGTGTCTGTGTGTCTGTGTGTCTGTGTGTGTCTGTGTGGACGTTCCATAGGATGAGTGTGTAGTGGGGAGCGGTAGTGTAGTGGTTAGCGCTACGCTGCGCTACAAACCCAGCGACCCGGGTTCGATTCCCGCTCACGGCCAACACCACCAGTGACGATTTTATCTGAACGGGTCCTGGGCCTCCCCTAGGTCGACTCAGCCTCAAATGAGTACCTGGTGCGGTGTGTAGTGGACATCGCCACTGGGGAGACAAAGGCGGCCGGGCGTGGTGCTGGCCACCCACCCCCTCGTGTGCTACAGTAGCGGCCTTCACAAGTGCTGCTCCCAAACAGCACTTGCCCCTACAATCTGCTAAGGCTGCACGGGGGAGCTTTGTCTTTGCGGTTTGGATTTTTCTACCCCTCTGCTGTAGCAGACAGAGAGAGAATATGGCATCTGTGCAGGACCGCCCTTTCCTGAAACCACATTGGGGCTCTGCAAGCCTCTCCTCAGCGTGCCTGGCGAGGCGATTTTGAATAATCCTTGCCAGGATCTTTCCCGGCACACTGAGGAGTGAGATGCCCCTGTAGTTGTTACAGTCTGTGCGGTCCCCCTTCTTAAAGAGGGGGACCACCAGGGCATCCTTCCAATCCTGCGGAACCCGTCCAGTGGTCCAGACTGTTGTTATAATGTCGCATAGGGCAGTCTGTGTACAAACGGCACCCTCCCTCAGCATTTCGCTTGGGAGATCATCTCTGCCCGCTGCCTTTCCTGGTCTCAGGATCCGGATCGCCTTCAGTACTTCCTCAACAGATGGCACCTCAGCCAGCCACTCACAGGGGGTGACTTCTTCCTCCAATATTTGAGGCACCGCAGCCTCAGCAGGATCATCCTCACTTCACAGGAATGGTCAGGGAATCTGTAGACCAGTCCCCTAATGACGGTGATAGGTGTGGCGATGGAGTTAAAAAGCGATTTGTGCCTGCGAACTACTGAGGCAGACTCCATCTATG